GGTGTTACATGTAATACAAGGAGAATTGTGAGGCTTGCAAGAAACTGACCACAAAAACTGACCACAAGGTCGATATTTACAAGGTTATATCTTGACCGGTCCTGCTTTGATAATACCTTACCTAATAGTAATACTACTACGAATACTACGGGCTACTACGGGCTACTACACGCGAGTTTGCGAATAAATATGTATGGATAATGTAGGTATGAATAAAATTTAAATAAGCTCAATAGAATACGACATGAAAGGAGAAATGGGCAACACTTTCGTACGAATAAGCGTTGGTCAGTATATTACCTTATACATGTATTCATCATGTAACCCTACGTACATCTAAGGTTGGAAGTGTACGGATCCGTACATTAGTGTAAATACCGGGGTTAGGTACATGTTTAGTGTAACTTTTAGCGTAAAACGTAAAAGCACATGTGAGGTTAGGTAGGGTACATGTACCGACGTATACTGCGGATGGTCTGCCCCTCCTTGGACTAACTCCGCAGCCCCTCCCGTCGAACTCGCCCTACGCTCCTCCAGTCATAATCTTCGCAACTTCGATGTCTTTCCCTATTTCGACATAATTGTCGACCCCTCCAGTCCAGTCCAGTTCCAGTCTCCAGTCCAGTCTCCTCTAAGCTTTTTGCAATCCGAAACCCTTGTCGTAGATACATGGTCAAATTATACGATGGAATGTTTCAGGAGCGTGATGAGGATGATGAGAGGAACTTGTCGACGTTAATGTACTCTACATATTACATGTAACTACATAACATTTCGCAAAGTCGGGTTTACCTAGGTAGTTAGATGAGGTCATCCTCATTCCCCGTTCCCCATTTCCCCCCCAGCTGGTCGGCGCTGACCCGGCAGAGTGATTCTGGAAAATTACGGTACTTAGGTGATTTATATTTATACTACCTTATGTGCCTTATGTGCCTTATATATATGTACCTCATAAGGTATGTGACGAAGTTTCTGCTACCCTATTGCAGTGCTCCTTCAATTCCCCGAACCCCCAGTTTTCCGCCTTAGTTGAAACGTCTAAATATGAGAGATCGACTTGCCTAATCGGGTTGATCTTGAAACATTGCCGACAAGGGCTGCGAGAAGGCGAAACAATACGATGTCTAGCCCGTCTAGCCCATCTAGCCTGTCTTTCCTTCTACTGGCTGACCAACTTGGCTCCCATTGCCCAATTGCCCAGCCGCTTTTTCTACTTTCTACTTTTCTACTTTCCGCGAAGCCAAATTGGTTTTTTATTATCCAACATAACCGAAGTTACTTAGGATACTTATGTCATGTACAGTTGAGCCGTCGGTCCCGAGACACGACGCTCTTAGGCATCATGTTTGAAAATGGAATTTTCGTCAAGGTCAGAAAAACCCCCTCAGGAGATGATAGGTACCGTTTTCCCCCTTAGGTAAGGGACGCAATACCCAATACGCAATACCCAATATCGGTAGCCACGCGGCCGCAGAAACCTCAAAGTATATGTATTACTATTGTTCGTATTTTCTTACCTACCTAACCTAGACTGACTCTAGGTAAAAATGTTGATCTTCCAAAGAGGAAGTCAGCTGCCAAGCTTGCTAGGATTGTTTGTCTCCGTTGCGCGTGCGCGTTATTTACACGATTTACACGATTGCGAGATCGGGAATATGTATTCACAGCTGACACTGTTGGGAATCTTACATAGTACGGGTTGGTTACAGGTTACAGGACAAGACGAGCCCCTTGTTATGAGGTAAAATGGTAGACCCCGCCATGGTGCATCATACTTGTTTTTCTTGCTTGTCTATGTTGCCATGTTGCCATGTTGCTATGTTGCTCTATGGGGATCATACTGTAAGTACGTCAGTTGGTACGATGTCTTCGTAAAGGTTCTGCTACACGCGTAACATTTCGATATAGAATCACACACTATACACTAGTATAGCGATCTCTATACGCATACGCAATACGCATATATGTATAATTTCTAAGGTAGGGTATATAGGTATGTTACATTGCGCATAATTCCCAAACGGCGTACATATATCATACCCTGATACACTAAGTGGGATCGAAACTCGTTGCATACTTAGCCATCTCACGTCTATCTTTCTTGTCGAGGGCCTTGAGGTCTCCCCATGCAGACTACTTACACATACGTATATACATCCGTCGGTACATATGCCTGCATATGTATGCTAGACTGGAAGACCCGGCGACGATTCCGTACAGTAACGCACAGTATAGAATACTTGTAAACTAGAGGGCTCCTCACGGTTTCGTATTGTATAATGCATACAGTACTCTTGCTGCGCTAACACTACTTGGGAGACTCGACTTGTACATGATGTATGCCGTATGTAAATGTATTCTACCTATGGATGTTCATAGGTATTCTGTAGAGATGTTTACATACATAGCCACACGCACATACGCACCCACCCAGACAGACAGACAAGAACAAACAACAGCATACCTGTTAAGAGGTATGTATTTGGGTATTTACGAAGACTTCTGCCAGATGTGGACTTTTCCTCTAAGGACCAGGGATATATTAGCTAAGTTGGGTACATATTCGTACATAATATGTCTGATGCACTACTCCTCTTAATCCCTTCTCGCGACATGACTCGAGAAGCGCTTGTGGACTTTTTTTTTTCTTTCGGCTGGTCAAGCGAGCAACCTCCTGCTAGGACTTATTAACCATATGTTACCTTATGTATTAGTATTGTATTCTTCCACTCAGCCCGTAAACCCTGGACTCTTCTCTATCAGGTCTAGACATGGTTTACGGGTTGTAACTAAGTACATTACTCGTCTACTTCAAGCAATTGAACTCCACTTTTCAGCTGCTGACGCTACTATTTCCAAGCCTGGAATGTACATACTGTAATGTACTTGCCCCTTTCGATCTTATTCAATTGTTTAGTACCAACGGTCTCTGCCGAGTTTCCCTTCTTATATACATTTTTTTTTTTTACGTATAGTTATCATACTTCACATAGTACATACCCTCGCCATCCATAACAGATAAATACATGTTATATATGGTAGAATACATAAGTATTAACTATAGTATTTATACATAGTAACTAGCTCTTTCTTAGGTACGTACGTATTGCCTATATCCGTCCCGTGTATCAATTATAGATTTACATATACCTAATGGTTTATCTACAGTAAAACACACACTTACAAAGCGCCACTTTCTGAGAAGAGAAAAAATAGAGAGAAAAAGTGAGAAGAAGAAAAAAAAAAGATCTTCCGGGTTCTAGATCTTCTCGCGAGAATTCTCCTGCGCCGTCCTATCCCCAGTCTCGAACTCTTCTTGACACGTCTTACAGCAGAAAAGCGTCTGTTTATTAGTTTTCGTCCCATCTGCCCACATATGCGCCGTGCAGTCTTGTTCTTAGACTCCACTCTTCAATCCATCCACATTCTGTCTTTTCTACTTTCTCTCTCACACTGTTACTTAGTCAAGCAAGCAAAGCACCATACTTACTTAAGGCAAGCTGGCTGCTAGGTAGCCGCTTTGCCAATACTTCCACACACCCCCACCACTCGTTGATTCGTTCGTCACTCTTGCATCCTCCTTCACATTCTTTTTTCCGACGTCGAGGATCGACCCTGCATGGTAACTCTTTCACCCCCGGTTTGTGTCTTCCTTCCATACTCGAGTTCGAAACGGGGTAGGTCAAGTCTCTCTACCACTACGTATTTACAATGTACTATAAAAGAGGTTCTACTGCAAAAAGATACTTCACTAGCCCTATAAGCACTCCCGTCCCAAGGTCGGACCAGTAACCCTGCCCTACCGTGAAAAGACAAGGGCCTGTTAACCCTGGAAGGAAAGAGAGAAAAGAGGAAAAGAAAAAAAATTAATAGAGAGAGCAAGGACAGGCCAGGTTGATTTTTTAAATCTGTACTTACCAGCTCGATCAGCCTCGTCACTATGGTGGTGTGAAAAGAAGGCTTCCCCTCCCCTCCTCGTCTACCCCCCCGGGCACGCCTCGTTAACTCTTCAGCCACTCTTCAAACCTCTACTTCGAGCTAACATTCCGTAGCTAGACACTCTAGTTCTTCTCGAGGTTATTTGCTAGTCAGCTTTCTCTTTTACATACCTCGGTTTCTTATTATATTCTCGAAACTGAGAAATTTGACCACTTAACAACTACTTAACTTTGTTACCAACGCTTCCTTAACCTCATCCTAACATGCCTGGACCATACTCTCTTTGACAGCGAGTGCTTCCTTTTGCTGACTCGGACGGTTACTACTACTAGCTTTACGTAAATCGGCCAACTGAGCTATCCTGTTCGGACCAGCTTTCTAAATTCTTTACTCCCAAATAGTCTCATTCCTTCCTATCCGGTCTTCTACAAGCTTCTTGTATGAAATCTTCTAGATACGTGCGTACGCATACTACTTTCAGATAAGCCAGGCCCTCGTTTTACTCCACACCCAGAACGACGTCTACTTTCCGCTTCGGGCATTGCCTAAATCGGCTACAAGTGGCAGAAACTAGTCTATCAGCTCACAATATCGTCCCGTTCCAAGATCTTCCTACTTGGTGCTTCCCGACACCTAGAGCTGCCTTGGGCACCGATCCTCCCATAGAGGGCCAGGGTCCTTCGACTGCTGCTGTGTCGGCGCATGTCCAGTTACTACGCCCAAAATACCACGCAACAAACTACTACAGTTCCCCCCAGTTGATCCTTTTGGAATTACTACCCATGTGTTTGGCATCGACCTTCAAATGAGGCTGGGCTTTGGGATCCAACAGTTCCACAAACCCCGATCGTATCCTGTCCCCTCTCTACTAAGTTGGCCGTCCCATCCAACTTTCTTATGCAAAGGTTATTCACCACCTCTTGTTCCGTATACACAACCACCACCACCATCATCACCACTGCCACTGCCACTGTCACTGCCACCTTGCTTCTTTCTAACCCTTAGCCCTTAGCATGCGTCCCCATGCTGCCGCCTAGTTCCTCTTCATGTCTTCTATCGAGATGATGCTCACAGCCAAGCAGCCAGTTCAACACGGGTACCGGCCTGTCCATGATCTACCGACGCCGCCTCGATCCTCGCCCCCCTTGAGTGTTCAGGACTCTTTGCAAAAGACGTTTGTAGCTCTTCCGCAGAATCAGAGTCCATCTACCAAGCCCATGTCAGCACCTCATCGTGGTCTGCCTCTCCCGGCAGCCATGACACTAGCTCAACCGCCGCCGCCGCCGGCTCCTGGTCCACCTCACCCACCAGCTCCGGGACCGCCTTTACATTCTCAGGGAGCGCCAGCTCCTTCTCCGCATAGTCAGACGCTTGGTTCGTTACCAGCGCCCCCTCCTCAACATCAGGGTTCTGAAGATGCGATGAGAAGCTGGTTGGCGGCCAAAACCGAAGAGGAAAAGAGGAAACAGGAAGAAGAAAAGACGCGGCAGGAAACGTTACGTTTGGAACAGAGAAAACTGGAGTACGATATGCTCCGGACGTCTTTAGATCGGGGTATACCACCGCCGATGGTGCCTGTTGTTTTCGCAGGAATGAGCGGCGGAACGCTATCGCAGGTGGCCCTCGAATGGGCGCAACAGTATTTGATGCCGCAGCAGGCGCACGCAGCGCAGATTATGCCAGCCCAGGGGGCTTTATCACCGGAGGCTCGAAGAGAGTCCCAGCAGTACGGGGGGCAGCAGTATGGTGTCCCGTCGACACCAGGATCGGCACCAGGTGCTCAAGCGAGTTTTATGCCCTACCAAGGGCCTAGCTCACCAAGACACAGGGCGCACACGTTGAGTATGGGCGGAGCTGTAGGAAGACCCTTGGGGAGTTCAGCTCTTCCGCGACTAAGTACAGGAGAAGGGGCTGCTGGACCGCCTGGAATACCTCATCCAGCACACGTGCTCGCGCAGCAACAGCATCAACAACAACAGCAACAACAACCGCAACAAGATACTCAGTCCCCGTCGATATATTTTCACCATTGGCAACCCCCGACCACTCAAGGAGGCTCTAATCAGCCAGGAACGCCTTCTGGTTTGTCAAAATCCAAAACGAGCAGGTAGAAACATGTCTGGCTAATGTTGCCTCTTGGCAATTAATAGAATCGCCTAAGAAACGAAAAGCGACGGGTCCCCAGCAAGCGCCGCCTCCGCCGAGCCAAGCGCGATTTAGATCTCCGTCTTTCGGTCAGCACGGGGGATCTTCGACATTATCAAATCCGCCTCCCGGTCGACGGCGAGGTCATTCGCGACAGAGGAGCGACGTCTCATCTTACCGGTCTACGGGACGCGGTCGAATTGAACCATTTGGTCCGCACCGGGGACTTTCACCAGGCCTTGGCCCGTCAAGGGAAAGCGGATTAGGCGAATCGTCACAGCAATCCAGGAGCGGCGCACACACAGTCTCGTCGTTATTAGCAGACCAGCCTTCACCACGATACGCGTCAGAAATGAGAGCGCAGCAGAGCGAGCACGAGCGACGAAATTCCCCGGCGACTTCGGATGAAAGGTCGCGCGGTGGAGCGACAAGGATAGGATCAGGAGGACCCGGACGAGAAAATGATTAAGGATAAAAATGATTTTTTTAAAGACATACGTGTTATGGTTATTGGAAGTCCGTCCGTGTTTCAGCCTCTGGGGTGGGTTCTAAAAACAACAAATTTTTTTTACCAATCTCTGGAAGTGTGAGCCCTACTCTCACGACAATATCGATTTATTGCTCAAGATCATCATGGGACAACTTTTTTTTAGTGCGCTATGATTTAACTAGCAAGAGGGGGGTGTTTTGCTTCCCTCGAAAATTAGCCATCTAAGCCTCGATTGGGACGAAAAGCGATATTACGAGCGCGCCACGCGGATTCTAAGCACATTCAACAAGCATAGCGCACAGCACAGCACGATCTAGGATAAGATGCGGTTCGACTACGATTTTTCATCTGGAATTTCACTGTAACTAATAGCTCTCATCATCTGTACTAAACCATCCACCTGCATACACATTTACATTTAGGAAGGGGGGGCGAGGGTCATGAAGACGACGGGTTTAAAAAGCATATATTTCTACGGTATGGAGAAATAGGCTCGGGGAAAAGAGGACCTGGAGTTTCTGGGCGTGCCGGACAAACACAAACAATTTTTTCTGTCATCATCAACATCAACATCATCATCATTAACATTAACATCATCGTCATCGTCACCGTCATCGCCATCATCGTCATTTAAGGGAATACGCATGAAGCCCTGTACAATACAATAGATACCATGTGAAAAAAGGGGATAAGGCGTCTAGAGTTTCGGAGACAAATAAGAAGACTAGGTTTGGAGTTTTATTTTTATACTTGGGGAATTCTTTTTTTTTTTTTTTTTTCATGTCCCATGCAACACTGTAAAATATACATATAGCTGAGTTCTAAAGCATTATAACATAACGATCGTCTCATCTCCCGTCGCGGCTTCGTTACACTACCTTGTAAGGTATTACTCGAGGAGCTCTTATTTAATATTTCTTCCCGAGAGGAGTACAGTCAGCTCGGCGTAGCTAGGGGTTTAGGCATGCAATATAACGACCCGTTGAAGCCTCATGCAGAGACGCCAGAGAAAGAGACAGTGTACTAGGTTTAGGTTAGGTTAGATTAGGTAGTTACGCGCGTTTTAATATATATCTACATAAATATGGACATTAGGTAGGTAGGTAGGTACCTATCAGTTCTTTTCCGCTACTACATGCCTACGCCCAGGGCGTTCGTATTTGCCCGTCCTGCGTAGGTATACTTTACCTCTACCTACTTAGGTAATTTACCTAATTTATTTTATATTTATTAGGTACGGTAGCTAGGTAAGTAGGCCCACTTGCGACGGCCGACGGGGGGGTTCCGTCCAATGGATCCCGCGAAGGGGGATCGGAGAATTGATGATTTGTCGAGGGGGGAGCGGGTGACGGTGACGGTGACACGGGCAAGGGCTCGAGAATGTCGGCACGACAGCTTTGTTGCTGCCGTCGGGATGAGCAGTTAGGTATGTATGTATGTATGTATGTACATAGTAGCGATGAGTTTAATTTAGGGCGTTTTTTTTGTGCGTCGTGTTGCACGGCAGGGAATAGGCGAATAGGTAGGTAGATGACTTGGGGTGGCCGGTATGTATGTAGAAGGAGAGAGCGAACTTAGGTAGCTACCTTACTTAGCTTCGCTTGGAGTTGCACTTTGAGAATTGGGTTTTTGGGCTTTTGGGTCGAGTGACCCCCCGGGGGCCAAGAATGAGAATGTGGTCTTGCTTGCCCGAACTTAGGTAGGTAGACTAGACAGGACAGGACAGGGTAGGACAGGGAGGCGCGATATACGGCCGCCTAGGTGTGCGACCTAGCGCAGTTACCTACCTACCTACCTTACATACCTATCGTCACCGTGCGCGGTATGTAGGGTTAGGTTAGGTTTAGGTAGGTTAGGTACTTACTTCCCTATATAGGTAGATACATACCTAATCTAAAGTATGTAGGTACCTCCTTCTATCTATCTAGTTATTCCTAATTTCTACATATTGCGCAGTATAAGAGGAGATAATATGCGAGTAAGGTTAGGTACCTAGCCAGGGGGAGCAGATCAGACCAGAGCAGACCAGAGAGAAAGGTTGTCTGGAAAAGGAAACGAAACGAAAGGGTCGAATTGGGAAAAATACCCGCGCGCCAGACGGCTAAGTCGTTGGCCAGCGTGTGATTCGCGCCCACACGCGCTCCAGCCGCTGGCCTGATCAAGCGATGCAACGACGTGACATCTAAACGCCCTCGCTCGTTTCCCTCCCCCCCTTCCCCCCTTATCCCTCGTGGGGGAAAGGTAGGAATGGGGGGGGGGACGGGGGGTTGCTTTGTCTATCTGGGATTGAATTTCGTTTCTCATCGCACGGCTGACGACGCAGCTACGCAACTCCGTCCCGAGAACAGAACAGAACAGAACAGGCAATATTACGGCTGACAATAACCCTCGTCTGGATGATATTCTGCTCGATTTGGGTGTTGCCTGCTGGCTATTATTAGCGCGTGCAGTGAGAGAGAAGCGCGGGAGGTACTGTGGTAACGGAGTCGCATCCATCTCATCTCCATGGCTGCGGTTGTCGCCTCTATGCTCACGTGGACTGTTGGTTGTACATATGGGGTAAGGTAGAAAGCTGTGTATGGTCTGGGGACTTGACGGATGGGTAAAGGTAAGATGGAGAAGACTAGGATGAGGTAGATCCGTTGTCGATCGCGAAGTCGTAAGTTCTTAAACCCAGTTAGTAGGTTAGTCAGTCAGTCAGTCACGAGATGGCTTCCACTTCGCTTACTAGTACGTCGATAGCAATGTGGTTTAGGTATATCAAGACAAATAAGCTAACATTCTTTGATAGCACCAGACTCTTTTCACGGCCACCCCTAGTAATTTAACCTCTTTAGGTTTGAAGATGGGTTGTCTTGGTCGAAAGGGAATAGAGCACGGCATCCACAGTGCCGATGGTTGACCCCCCTCATCCATTACATCTGCACTGAGATGCGTCAACTGCCTATCCCGCCAAATGGGAAGCTTTCCTGGTTCTAGGTTAGGTAGCCACCGGAATACCCACGACCCGGCAGTGCTACCGTATCTGGGATCGACTGACTCATCGAATGGGTAGACGGACCATCTGTGTGGGAAGTCCCCCTAAAAGCAGAAGGGGGTTCTAGCTACATCGCGATTGGAGATATTCCAAATCTTGCGAATCCTCCGACTACACATCTGACTACATTACACACTTACTTGAATTGGGTGCCTATATGCATACTTATCTGCAGAGGTCGGTCATTTGTTGTTTTTTTTTGTTGTTGTTTGTTTATTGACGTCTCCTACTCCCAATAATATAGCCGCTGCCGCCGCCGCTACTACTATAGGAATGCATGATGACTTGCAGTAGCGCTATACCATGAAGACACGCTGCTCAGGGAATTTGGGATGGCACGTCGCTGATCTAGACCCCCTTCGGGTACAGCTCTGCTGACTGCCTCTGGTCCCAAACCGACTGGCTACTTTCTCTCGCCAACAGAAACCGCATCTTCTGCCTCTAATTAGGCAGAGGTCTTACTTGGCTGGGACGGAAACAATACGACTCGTCAGGAGAGTAGCCCAAATCTCGCGCGCGATCTTAGCCTATCTAGATATATATGTATGTATTATGTATGTATATGTATATGTGTGTATCAACCCGCGAGGTGCAATACCCAGATATGTACGGGCTAAGGTAGTATTTCCTTTTCTGCTTGACGCATACATTAGGTATGTATTATGCACTGCGGCGGAGTGGAGAGGACCCAGCTTAGCTTTCCCAGGCTTTGGTAGAACAGCTCGCGACCACAACTCTCACCGAGGAAGTTCGAACTCGCGGCACAGTCGGCTTCCTTTTTTTTCCCCGCGTGTAAGTCAAGTAGGTAACAACAGCAACTAATGTACGTAGGTGGGCGCCTCTCCTCTCCAGCGTTCGAACGCTTCGCGGTGGTTGGCCGGCCATTCTCCGCCCGGGCTGGACGCGACGCGGCCGTATAGGCGGCCTGCCTCCTCTTTCCTTTTCTTACCTACCTCCTATATACCCCTATGCCCCTATATATACCTATATAACTTCCATGTATACTAGGAATTAATGTACCTAGGTATATATCTATATACCCATACATACCTACATATACGTATTATACATATACATACATACATATATGTAAGTACGAACGTTAGCAGAAACCAAGAACCCACGCAACAGTGTCCCAGATGCGCAGAGCAAGCATCTGCGCTGCGACGCTGACTGCATTTTTCGCTCGTTCCATGCGCGCAGGTAGGTAGATATGTAACTAGCAAGCAAGCAAGCTAGTATCGTCCGTGTTCTCATTTGACGGTACGATGCTCCGCGGTAGATTAGGGGGAGTAGATGGAAAAGGGAAAAAAAAAACCTGGACGCGAAACATGAAGCCAAGCTTTTCGCGGCTTAATACTATGTCAGATTAATATCTATGAAACACCGCGTGCATGGCGCCCGATGCGACGCCCGATGCGACGGTACTTTTACGGTTTATATGTCTGGGCGTCTGTCTAGATGTCTGTCCGCTTGCCCACCTCCGGCGGCGTTGAGGGGAGGAGGATGAAATGATGGGAAGCCAGGTAGGTTAGCTATACCAGCTCGGCTGTCCTCGACCCGATGGGATATGGGCTGATAGACTAACTAACTGACTAACTGACTGACTGACTGAGTACGTAAACAAACAAAACAGATCGACATTTATACATACATTAGATTAGGTACGCTACGGGTTGCGGAACCCAACTGATCGTCGAGCTCGTGCGCGAATAAGACGACGCGGGACCCGCGAGTGGTTCGGGGACGACTTCAGCCGATAATGCGCCGCGGTATTGCCCTGCCAATAACCAGTTTTTCCCGCGAAGAGGCTCAGCAAAGCTTGATTTCGTCCTCTTTTTCTTTTTCGGCTGTAAGAGAGGCCCGTGGACCGTTGCTATGGGGTAGATAGAAGTAGTCGGATGGATGATCTGGTGGCTGACTGCACGTCACATGCGAAACGACGCAACGCAACGCTGTTGTCGCCCGACGAGTATGTAGGCATTATATGATACTCCTCTAGTCTCTCTCTCTTCGTCAATCCCGCCACCACTACCACCAACACCACCACCACCGAGGCTGTGACGAAACGACGGTCGGGTGGGTGGATGGATTGAAAGATTGGGGGTCTGTCCCGCACGCACCCCACGAGCAACTTCACATCAGGAGTGTAGTGTGTGTACTAGCTATCTCCGGGAGAGCTCCGCCCGCCCGCCGGCTGGATCGCTCAGCTCAGCTGAGCTGGGCGATCTCTGCCCATTCCTGCCTATTCGGGAAGGGGTAAGGTGTTCCGGATCGGGACGTGCTGAGTAGGGCAGGGTCAATGTCATGTCATGTCATGTCAAGACGATGCAATACCTAGCGCCAACGGGCTAACTTTGGACGTAGGTACGAACATGTAATTTTATTTCTGCTAGCGGGAGCGGGAGCGGGAGCGATGGATTCGTCTCGAGAAGACCATGTGTTTTATGCGGGCTGCGCGTAGGAATCGGAATCGGAATCCTGAAAGCCCACTTGTGCCACCGCGAGGCGTCTCGGACAACGTCATTAGGGATCCTTCTGGACGACGGCGTCATTATTTGGTCTGAATAGGGTCATGAAAGGCGAGGAGATGTTGGTATGTTTTATTTTGTTTTGGGCTTGTGGCGCGTTGATGCGTTGTCTTTTTGGGGGCTGGTATCGTTGACTCACCTCGTAGAAGTTTATTATCTTGTGGCTTTGGTTTTGGCACTCCTCCTTCTTGATCAGGTATGTTCCTAGTAGGTTGTAAATGCTGGTACGGATATGGGGATCAGCTTTACTGGTCTATGGCGCGAAACGCTGGAGTGCATATGAGTCACCTTGGATGAGGCCTCACAGATTGATTATACCGTATAGCTTGCTACTTGACTTATATGATATTACTACGGAAAGAAGCGTATAGATGATGCATGTTACAGATTCTTGATGCCAATATAGAGTTATAGATGTTAAATCTCATGCTAACTACCTAAACTAACAGGCGAATATCCTTAGCAAGGAAATACATAGTATCAGTCCTTTTAGTTTCCTCGTTACATAGCAAGACAGTGATCTCATCCCAATTTTTTGCACAGCCCTCGTCCCCATTGACATTGGCCGTCCTATCTATCTATCTACCTTACATATAATTCATCTGCCTTACGAGCCCTCCGCCGAGCTTGATCCTGAATCACATGCTGCTCTGACGGAACACCCGCCTTCCACCTGTACGTGGAAGCAACGTGCTCGTCGAGCGGGCCGGTCTGTCCCGGCTTCTGGTAGAAGTTCTCCCGGTACGTGCCCCCGGGCACCGCGTAGTCGTCCCAGAACAAGCCCCGGCTTCGCAGCTCGGGGAGCAGAAGCGAGATGATGTCCTTGAAGGACTGGGGGAAGAGTGCGTATGCCTGGGTAGAGTTAGTTAGTTAGTTCGCTTTGTGAGCGAGAGTCGCGGCGGCGTTGTAGTTGTCGTGTCTGGTAGGTAGCTTAACTGGGGGGAGGGAGGAAGGGGGACGGGGGAGGTTACTTACAAAGTTAAATCCGTCAACGTCGGCTTCGTCAACCCAGGTCTCGAGTCCGTCTGCTACTTGCGACGGCGTCCCGACGAATAGGGGTCCGTTGCCGCCGAGGGCGATGTGCTCTGCTATCGTGTGTTTGGTCCACTTTGCTGTCTTGGGCGAGAATCTGGCAAAGCCTTCGACGGTGGATCTGGACTAGATTTAGTACCAAGATGAAAAAAAAGGGGGAGGGGAGGGAAAGGGGGGGTGTATTGTATTGTTGCGCTTACCGCACCGCATTGCTCTCCACGTGTCTCAATTCCTCTTCGTCCCCGTACTTGTCAAGATCGATGCCCGTCCATCCGCCGAATAGAGCCAGAGCCCCTTCGTGCGAGGCGTATTTCCGGTAGTCGGCCAGCTTGGCCTGCGCTTCTTCTTCCGTCCGTCCTAGGATCGGCGTCACCAGCGCCAGGACCTTGATGTTCGACGGGTCTCGGCCGTACGCGGTCTTGGCGAGCTCCCGCACCTCGGCTATGTTCTTCGCGCAGACTTCCGGCGCGTGGGCCGATACGAAGATGGCCTCGGCGTGCTGGGCCGCGAACTGCTTCCCGGCGCGAGACGTGCCGGCTTGCAGGAGCAGCGGCGTTCGCTGCGGGCTCGGCTGGCAGATGTGCGGGCCGGGGACGGTGAAGAACTTGCCTTGGTGGTTTATCGCCCGTACTAGGTCCGGCTGCGTGTAGATGCCCGACTGCCGGTCTAGCTTTACGGCGTCGTCCCGCCAGGACGACTCTAGAAGCTTGTAGATGACCTTGAGGTATTCCTCGGCTTGTGCGTAGCGATCGTCATGCTAGTTATTTGCAAATATTAGAAAGAAGTTTTGTTTTACCTATTCATATAGTTTAGGTACCTAACCAGGAGACGGGTGGTCTTACTTTTGGCTGCTCTGTAAAGCCTAGGTTCTTCGCGGCCGAGTCGAGGTAGCTTGTTACGACCTAAGCCAGCCCCTATTTAGCTTACCATCCAAGTAACTGTATGGTTATAGAGGAGTTTTATCTTACATTCCAGCCTAATCTATTTACACGAAATTAGTATTATAAGTTATAACTATATCGTTTGAAGATGAAAAAAAAAAAAAAAAAAAAAAAAAAACATACCGTCCTTTAGATAAATGATCTACCGTCGACAAGCGCCTGGCGAAATGATACGGCTGCTCGTACGTAGTCGAAGCCGTGACGCCAAACCCAATGCTCTCAGTCGCCGCCGCCATGGCGGAAATTACAGAAAGGGGTTCATTAGTCGGCCATTGGGCTCCGGATATCTTTGCGGGATCTAGGGAATCCCTATAGACGTCGTACCCCCCTGTCGTCGGAATCAGTAAGCTGTCTGTCTGACCCATATCGGCTGAATGCTATGTATATTATCGTACCGAGGACATCGGCAATGAAGATGCCGTGGAACTTCCCCTTCTCAAGCAGCTTCGCTAACTCGACCCAGTGGGATACTTCGTTGAAGCGCCACGACTCGTCGTCTGGGTGCCTCCACAGACCCGGCGATTGATGCCCGCTGGCTAAGAGAGGTGGTGTAAGCCGGTCAAGGTCGTTCTATGACGAATTGGATTTTACTTACCCATCATTACGAAGGCATTGAGCACGAGGCTCTTCTTCGGCTTTGCGTCGCTGCTCATATTTCACGTATGTATGTATGTAATGTATGTATGTGTCTAACCTAGGTACCCTTACTAATTCAACACGTAATAGTTGATTCATCAATAATGGCCCGGATATATTTCTTAACATACCTAACCTAGGTATGTATGTAGATATACGGCTATATCAAAAACCAGCTCATCCCATCCCGTCTCCGAGGGCCGGCGGAGTAGCCCGCCACTAGCTACTACGCGATATCACGTCAATACCGGAATGGCGCATATACCATAGCGTTCCGACGTGCTTGGCTGTGATCACGCAACACGACCGGTTCGATCACGCAATAGAGCTTAGGCGGGGTTGTCCAACCAATATCATTGGGTTACGCCGCCATGTTTTATTGCGCGCCGGTGAAGGAGACGTCAAAGCAAGGCGGGGAAGAGACACTTATTGGGCTGGCGCCCTAATTGTATAAGTCGGACTGGCAGAGTAGCACACCGAGTACTATAGAATTTTTGGAACGGGGTAAATTTTTTTTATCGCGCTTTGGCCTCACCGTTGGTTGGAGAGATCTCTTCCTAACAGGTAGAATTAATAGGGTGGGTTATACTACATCACTAACCCAGATACATCTTGACTGATCGATCGGAAATGTTAATTATTTCATACTATAAGCTACCTTAATGGCTCAGTTGAGAGATAAGATTCGATGAGCAAGCATACTTGGTCATCTCATTCCTTAGCCGGCTCCGTCTCCTGGTATGGTGGCTCTTCCTGGTATCTCTCGTACTTATACTTAGACCCGACATGGTCATCCCTAAGCCCCTTTTGACCCTTCCCGTATACCCTCTCCCGAGCAGTTAGAGTCTCTCCTTCGGGCAGGGGATCGGGATAAATCCCACGTCGCCTTAGCTCTGGAATCAAAAGATCGACCACGTCCTCAAACGACCCAGGAGTGGTCACGTAACCGATATTGAACCCATCCAAGTCCCCTTCTTCTATCCAGCGCTCCAGGTCGTCCGCTACGGTTTGAGGGGATCCAATACCTACGGGGCCGAGACCACCTATCGACGCTTTCTGGGCGATGACGCGGGGCGTCCACTTGGGGATGTCTCTGCTCGTAGTCGTGAACGCGTCTAAGATACTGCGCACCTTATGAGCCTCCAGCGAGTCTGCTGCGGTGATCTCTTGGTCCAGAGGGATCTTGGATAGATCGATTCCGGTCCAGCCGCTGACCAGAACGAGGCCGCCGACGACCGAGCCGTATTTCAGCAGCTCTTCGTATTTCGCGTGCGCCTCCTCGTCGGTGGGCGCGACGACGGGGGTGTAAGTCGCGAAGAACTTGAGCGAGCGCGGGTCCCGGCCTTTAGAAGCAGCTAGCTCCCTGATCTTGGCGATCTTGGGCCGGAGGACGGACGCAGAGTGGGAGGAGACGAAGATGGCTTCCGCGTGCGTCGCTGCGAATTCAGAGCCGGCGGCAGAGGTCCCGGCTTGGAATAGAAACGGGGTTCTCTGCGGAGACGGGTCGACAATGTGCTTTGTGTTCAGAGTGAAGTACTTCCCTTTGTGATTAATCGTGCGAATCTTATCCGGATCCGCGTAGGTGTCATTTTCTGGATCAGGGGAGATTGCATCGTCTGCCCACGATCCCTCCCAGAGCCTGTATACATACGCTTTTTGAGTTTCACTGCGCCACTGAAATGAAAATACTGATTGGTAATAACATACTTGTAGAGTACTTTCAAATATTCGTCGGCCTGAAGATATCGCTCGTCATGATCGATAGGGGTATCAAGGCCAATGGCTTTAAAGGCCGCCTTTTTCCAAGAAGTGACGATATTCCAACCAAATCGTCCCCCGGTGAAGTGATCTAACGTGGAAAACCGTTTTGCTAATAGAAAAGGGGGCTCAAACGAGGTTGAAGCAGTAATGGCGAAAGAGAGATTTTTCGTTACGGCAGCCATTGCCGCGATGGGCTATGATATAATAGTTTAGCTTTAGTTTCTTCATGTTTAACTAGTCTTCGATGCTGATAGACATAGACCTACTATAGTCGGATCCGTCACGGGCCATTGTGCGGCTCTTCTGATACAATTGTCAAGGCTTCCCTCATAGGTGTCGTAGCCTCCGTACGTATCTGCGAGGAACAAGGCATTGAACCCTCCTCTGTCTAGCAATTTTGCTAACTCTAGCCAATAGTCAAGGTTGCGTTTCGTAGCTGACTTATCAGCGGGATTCTAATGTACTGTTTAGCTATATACCTCGGCGTAAAATATATGGAAACTCACTTTCCATTGGCCCGGTGAGAGATGGCCAATGGTTGACATATCAAATGCATTTAGCAGAATCTGCTTCTTACCCTCTGAAGAAGCCATTTTCAACAGTGGTTAACTATTTGTAAATTTTGAGAAAATACTCTTTAGATATTGTCTTCAAAAACAAAAAAAAAAAAAAAAGAACGAGGTCGCAATTTAGATTATATTCACAACATTATAAATGAACTTAACTATTAGTAACTATGAACAACTCTCCGCTCATACGTCAGAAATCCCATTCCGGCATTTGACCGATATTGATGTGACGATAAAAGTTGGCCTAGAATTCTAGCCGCAAGCATGATTGCTACCCGGACGTCCTATCGCGGAGGTGCAAAGACGCGGGGGCTATTGCGTGCTTCGCCTATAGGAGATGTGGTAGGTCGACCACACACATTTAGTCTATTGATAACGCGTTTCAAGATAACTTCAGTCTCATAGATATAAGTCGTCGGTTCTGACCGGTTGAGTGTCAATGTCTTAGGTACTTATTACACTCATAACCGGTCAGGCTTTTGTTGCTTTCGTCGTATAAGTGTGATCCAATTATTTTCCAACATGACTACCGAAGGCTTAGAGCAAGCCGTCAGTACCAATGGATCAAAACTATCCTCACCAGAGCAAGGCAGCTCGGAAAATCCAACCAATGGCGTGAAAGTGCCTATAGTTGAGAGCGTGAAAGAAAAGATCGAGCCGCTACTCAAGGAACCAAAGTTTGGTAATTATCCCACACCAACACTTAAGCTTGAACAGCGCCATATCGACGAACCGAGGCAACTAAGAGTTGCCGTCGTTGGCGCGGGAATTTCAGGTGTGCTGGCTGGCATAATTCTTCCTCCAAAGGTTCCTAACCTGAAGTTGACTATATTCGAGAAAAATGCCGACGTGGTGAGTAAACAATATTGATACCTATACTCAAAATATAATATACCTAGGCAATTCCGCTAACTAGCTACAGGGCGGTACGTGGTTTGAAAACATCTACCCAGGGGTCAGATGTGACGTTCCGGCGCACGTCTACCAGACCAGCTTTTCACCAAACATTAACTGGTCAGAGCAGTTCGCGCAGGGCCGCGAGATCAGGGACTACTGGCAAGGGCTGGCGCGGAAGTACGATGTGTACCAGTATCTGAAATTCTCCCAAAAGGTCGAAGAGCTGAGCTGGGACGAGAAGAAATCCGTATGGAACGTAAAAACGCATAATCTCAGCACGGGAGAGACGTCCAGTGAGGAGTTTGACTTTGTGCTGACTGCCATCGGCCGCTTCAACGCCTGGAAGCTGCCCGATTACCCTGGGATAAAGGACTTCAAAGGTCTTCTTCGACATGCCTCCAACTGGGATCCCAATTTCGACCCTGCAGGAAAACGAGTTGCGATCATCGGCAACGGGGCAAGCGGCATACAGCTTACAGCCAACATCCAGAAGCACGTCAAGCACCTAGACCACTATGCCCGAAATAAGACCTGGGTTACGGCATCATTCGCAGGCGATGCCACTTCCATCGAACCCATCCCCATATCCCCCGAGCTCCGGGAGTCGTTCAAAGATCCCAACGAATACGTCAAGTGGAGAAAGGAGCTAGAATCCAAATACTGGCGGGGCTTCTCGAGCTGGCTCAAGGGATCCGAGCTCAACGAAAAGTCTCGCGAGGAGTTCGCCGAGCTTATGAGGAAACGCGTAGCCAGGAAGCCCGAACTCATCGATAGAATCATCCCCGACTTCTCGCCCCACTGCCGACGCCTCACGCCCGGACCCAACTACTTCGAGGCCATCACGGAAGACAACGTGGACTACATCCAGACGCCGATAAAGCGCTTCACCGAAACCGGCATCGAGACGACCGACGGCGCGCACCGGGAGGTGGACGCGATATTCTGCGCGACGGGCGCGAACAGGGACATGGTGCCGCCGTTCAGCATCCTGGCGCACGGCAGAGACCTGTCGAAGCTGTGGGAGCGGGACGGCGAGTACGGGTTCCCGTACACGTACCTCGGGGCGGGGACGCCGGGGTTCCCGAACCTGGGGTTCATCCACGGGCCGCACGGGTCGGGGCGGTCGGGGACGGTGCCGCACAGCGTGGAGGTGCAGGTGACGTTCTACGCGAAGCTGCTGCGCAAGGTGGCGCGCGAGGGCATCCGGACCGTGCAGCCGTCGAAAAAGGCGGCCGACGACTTCGTCCAGTACTCGGACGCCTTCTTCGCGACCACGGTGCTCTCGGAGAACTGCAGCTCCTGGTATAACAGCGGGCGTCCGGGCAGCAGGATACACGGGCTGTGGCCGGGCAGCGCGGCCCACGTGACGATTGTTTACCGCGACCCGCGGTGGGAGGACTGGGAGTACGAGTACCTCTCCGACAGCGGCAATAGGCTTGCTTGGTACTTCGGCGTCGGGTCGACGTTGAAGGAGCAGGATTTAAGCGAGGATATCGTGCCGTATATTAGGGACCCGGCTACGATCGACTTGCGGGATTTGCACGAGAGCTGGTGGGATCTGCCTTGAGGAGGGTTTGGCATATTCTTTAGGTTAGGGGATATTACATGAAGCCAGCCTGTCTTAGCCCTGATAATATATATACACGTCGAAGTTGATAGTCCTCTTTGGTACGTCTTTGTAGAGAATGAATCCTCTTATTAGGTACTGCTCTCAATTGCAATGGGAAGGCCCAGTTATAAACGGTAGCCGTATACTCCGTAGGCTCGTCTGTAGAGCTATTTCTACTGAATGGCAATCTTGATATAGTAATAAATGCATCCATATTACCTGTCTATATGCCATAGGGTATACTACCGAATTCCTAAACCACAACCATAACCACAACTACAAACCCCTATCCTTATCCTCTTCACAAACCAAACCAAACCAAACCCTCCCCAATGCTCAACACCCAAACACCAATACCAATACCAACATCAACATCAACACCAACAACCCCCTACCGCCCCGACTCCTCCCTAGACCTCCTCTCCCTCTCCCAAATCCACAACGCAGTCGCAACCGCCATAACCGCCCACCTCTCCCCCAACACCCCGCTAGCCCCCGACCCCAAAAACCGAAACCGCATTTTCTTCGTCAGACTCATATTCGCCCACGCCCACACCGCCACCACCTCCCTACCGTCCCCCGCCGTCGCGCCCCCCGTAAACACCGGCTGCTGCCCCCCTCCTCTCCCACCACCACTTCCTCCTCCGCTTCCCCCCAACCCGCTCGGCGCATCCGTCCTCATCCGAACCAACTTCCACCCACTCGCCCTACCCCCCAACGCCTCCACCGCATCGCCCCTCGACCTCCTCCACTCAAACGCCTCTCTCCTCCCCGTCCCCCCTCCCACCCCAATTCCCACCCCAACTCCCACCCCCACCCCCGTCTCAATAACAAACGAAAACACCCCCCCACCCCCCATCGAAAACCCCGGCGTCTCAACCCGTTCCTCCGCGCGCGGCGCCCCCGACCCAGAGACGGCCGGCAACGTAACCGTGAGATCGAGCGCGCGGCCCAAGCGCGCGACGACCGCCAGAGGGGGGGTATGGTCGCCCGGGCCGCTGTGCAGGATTACATCCGGGCGGGAGGAGTAGGTGGGGGAGGTGGTGACGGCGTATAGGGGGGTCGATTGGTGCGTGCCGATGTGGTAGTGTCGGCGGCTTTCGATGTACATGTTGAATGCGGGGGGGAACTGGCGGGGGATTTGGGGGAGGGGAGTTGGTTGTTGTTGTTGTTGTTGTTGTTGGTGTTGTTGTGGGGGTGTGAAAGGGGGAGGAGGCGCTTGGGTAGTTGCGGTTGGTGGTGGTGATGATGCCGCGCCGTGTGTTCGATGTTCAGAGTATGGAGGCGGGTCGTCGTTTTTTTTCGCTTCTTTGGCGTGAGAGGCCATAGTAATTGTAGAAAAAAGAAAATTTGGTGGTGGTGGTGGTGGTGGTGATTTACCAGTAAAACAACACCCTCAAAATAATCGCTACTGTGTAAATGAAAAGGGGGTTTGAAGGTGATACACAAGTACCCAGATAGATCGAAATAAAGAAGCCTTAGATACTTAGGTTAAGGTTTCAAATCCCCAGATCAACTAATTCATGAGCGAATAATGAGGTAACTAGAGGTAGGTAAATAACTATCTCATAAAAGTAATCGTAAGAGGAATTCCTCTTTATACGCTCCGCTCCTTCGCTTCCTTCCTTTGTCGCGAGGAATATATATCCTATTAACGTAGGCACCTAACCTATATATATATGTTAGGTACTCTTACCGAATGCGACCAGCTGATATCAATCATCGAGGCTGAGCTCTTATTCTTACATTATGTACTGTACCTATCAAAACCAAGTACATGTGTATCCGTCCACCCACTCCTCCCCCCATATCGAACGACATTCCAGTTCCTCAGCTGACCATCGCCACGACGTCGAACAGCGTAGGTAGGTAGATTAACTGTGTAATGCAAACAAGGCCGTCTGCCAACAACGTGGGAAAGTTAGCCGAGCCGGGCATCCAGTGCCGTGGAATCGTGCTATATTTCCAAACTAGGAAGATCCCTGGCCGCTCCTAGGCTTGGGTTGCAGATCAGATGGTTACACCGAAATGATTGGGGAAGACAGCATGTCTATCCTCATAGCCGGGATTATCTATCAGCCTTACCACGTACGTCATGCTTATATTAATAATCTCAAACAGTAAATTCAAACACAAGCAAATTCGATTCAGTCAAATAAATACGATAAAGTCAAATAATATCGAGGGAAGGTAAATTAGGTATATCAAATTCATACTATCGTAGGGTAATATGAAGTCTAGAACAAGCAAACAAGCAAGTACTAGACGCTCGTGTAAAGGGGGGGGTATAGTTAGTACGACCTCGGCGAGGTTCGTACCATGAAGTTCCGTAATTAAATATGTATAATGTAATGTAGTAAGTAGTAGTAACGATAAGCCGGCGTAGTAACCGGTCTTCCGCAGTCCGTGAACAATCCATTCGAATGCGTAGGGGGTATAATGCGAAGAACCATCCATCAGCGTCTCCAGAGCTTCCGCCTCGTAGCCCGGACAAAAGGCGAAATAACCAGCGCTCCTCCGAAGCACAAAGGAAATCGGATGCTAAATCAGACCCTTGTCGCGGTCTAGGCGATGTAGGTTATTGTAAATTAGATAGGTAGCCAACGTAGCGGTTGGCCTGCAAACCGGTATCACGGATTTCCTCCGAATCCCCCTCTCCCTACCGGAAAATCCCATCTCGGCGCAAGTTTAAGAAAAGTGGCGTATAGTGCCGCAAGTAGGCTTAGGAGTCTGTGAAGAACTTTGGATCCTGGTCAGGTGATGCATCAAAAAGGCGATCTAGCCTCCTAGGTCTTCTGTTTGCTCTCATGCCGTCTATACTCCAGTTGAACGAGGTCCATAAATCCTTGCTCATCCTTAATAGGAACCCAGGAAGTAAGAGACTTCATAGCGTTTTCAAAGTCGGAATCTAGCAGCGTTGGCCGGAGCGTATCAATAATAGCGAGACTAGTTGCGTGGAGGATCTCGAGTCCCTTAGACGACGGTTCTGGAACAGCTTTGGTCGGTGACGCGGAGCCGTCCGTCGGCTCTGGCGAAGAACCGAGTAGGATAAATGCGTCCCATACGCGGAGCTGGACAGGAAATGGTATCGATAAGTTGAAGAGGGTTAGATACCACTTAGTAGCATACGCCGTCGGGTCAATACAAAGCTCAGTCTAGTAAAATATTAGTCGAGATCAAGTCAGATAGGAGCAATTGTGAACCTACAAGTTTCGAAGCGACGTCTCTACTAGCTAGCCAATCGTTTTCGAAATCTTTCAGAGCCTCTATGAGCGCCACAAATCCAGAACCATACATCCGATTGAGACCACGATACTTCCACAGTCGCACCAGCATTACGAAGCACATCTCCTCGTCGAAATAGCTTAGGAAAGTTGCTGCCAGCGGAGCCATGCCCTGGACGTAGCCCGTGTCGGGATAATAAAGGGACAAGGCGTGCAGTACTCGGAAAAGCAATCGCTGGCCACCACGGTATCTCCGTCTGAACATAATATGTTGATTAATTGTCCTGGGCACGTCCAAATCGATTTGTCCGTCGTCGGGAGATGGTTCCTCGGCGAGCCGGTGGTAATCGGCCTTGATTTCCTCCTCGGTAGCAAACGGTTCGCTGCTAGCCTTGGCAGCGGTGGAGAGGAACGAATACCAAGCTGCCGCTCGCCAACAATCAGGGATACCCTTCCATACGCGTTTGACTAGCTTCGGGTGCTTCTGATCAAAATCAAACACCATACCTTGACCGTCCTCGCCTACTTTAATCACCGTAGCCATCTTTAACCACTTCTCAGCGCGCTGCGTCTCCTTCAGCTTCGACTCGGCTAGCTTCCTCTCAGCCGACCCGTCCTCGGTAAGATGCGACAAGCCTGGGTGTGTTGCAAGGATATCCCCAGCTTCATCTAGTAATCTCCTGTCCCTGTTATGCGGCAATAAATTTGTGGCTTGGCGAAAGGTAGTCGAAAGAGCGGAACGATGCGACGCCGTAGACAATTCCGACGCCTGTGTGTTTAAAGAGCGTACTGACATCTTCCTCCTGGGGCCGCTCCTGACTCTTAACGAATGTGATGCCGTTTCTTTCCGACCCAGAACGTTTCGCTGTTTGCGCATCGAAAAATGAACAGACGTAGTAGTTCCGGTTGGCGACGACGGCCGCGAATCTTGCGGCTGTTGAACTGCAATGAAACCGTAACGATCGACATCTTCAACCTGCACTCCTTCCCAATCTTCGATTCCTCCTGCCAACTCATATTCGCGCCTCACGTCGTTATCTTGTGGCGACGAAGTAGAAACCGAGATTGGAGTAGGGTGTCCAGCCTGGTCGTTTGACCTATAAGAGAGGCGACTTGTTAGCATTATCAAAGGTAAAAAAAGTTGGATATATAAGGAAACCGTACGCATCATTCGCATTTTCTTCTGACGGGTCTTCTGCTGAGGGCTGGATACGCTCATCAATCGACGAGTGTCTCGCGCCCTCTTCCCACTTGACACCTTCTCCGGATTCATAGAGCGATCTCACCTTTTGAGATTCCTTCTCCGCCTCAGCAGATATAACCCGAACACTAGGAGGTAACCGACGCGGTGTGGGCGGTGTGCTGGTCAAGGCGTCGTCGGTAGCCCCTGAGAATTTGGCGGGTTCATTAGCGCTCGCGCCGACAGTGATAGCAGCATCGGGAACCTTTTCGCGCGTCGGTGCTAAAGGAAAAGCGCGTGGTTGAACAGGTTGAATAGGTCGATCGGCGGCAGCGGTTCCATTATTGATGATGCCGTGTTGTTCGGCCATCTTAGGCGGATTCCTGTTGGATTTGGTGCGCGAATGCTTGGCGCCAAAAATGAGGCTACCACGCTTGGAGAAGGACAGCTGGGTCATAAAGTCATCTTCTAACAAGCTCTCGGTGGGGATAGTGGTTGAAATAATTGGAGAATCATGGGGGTCAGGTACTGGTGACAATCTGCCGCTAGGGGATTTAGGCGCCGATTCGTTCTGTCCGTTTAGTGGGTAGCGGTAACCGGGGTTTTCAATAGTGCACGGTACCCCATCATTTCCTGATTTCTTCCGTAATCGCCTCATCTTTGAAAAAGACGATTTGGATGAGTTAGATCGCAAACTAAAACTTCTTGCAAACCTTTTGGAAAAATTAGAAGGTGGAGTGTTTGGTGATGTTGGTGAAACAGTATCACCGTCCGAAAGAGCTGGTGAAGGAGCGCTAGCCCTGCTGTTGGATTCGCTTACTCGTTCCTCTTGACGTGAATATAGAGAAGGAGATGCAGAACGAGTTGTCAATTGGAGGGGTTTAATTTCGCCAAATTTCTTAACATTTTCGTAGGTAAATGGATCTTCGTCGTCCGTCTCGCTATCCTCGCGAATGGTCCACGAGCTAGAAGGAGTAGTCGGCGAATGACAGGAATCTCGCTTTCTCACATCTACTAGCGTTCGTGGACTGCTGATAGTTCTCAGCGCCGGGTGCTGTTCAGTAGGAGGGGCAGGACGTGGAGGCGGTACGACGATGGGAATACGAGCTGTATTGCACGAAATAGGACGCGGTGGCGGGCGACGAGAGGATCGAGGTGGTGGTATTGGTATAGGTGGCTCTGCCTGGACGGTTTGGTCATACCGGAACGCTACCAACTTAGAGTCATCTCTGAAAGGAACAAGACTTGAGGACCTGCTCTTAGTTCGGCCATTTGTTGTCTTGGGGGGTGCTGGCGGTGCTATGTATGGTACCGCGTGTGGTGTAACTCCGAACATTGTGGCTGACTGGGTGTTGTTGCTGTGTTGTTTTTTTGTCTTGTGCTAAAGGAATATAATCCGCCTGCGTCTGCAATGATTTGATTTTCGCGCAATTAGCGATATCGTGCTTGGTGTAACAACGATTGGGTGAGCTGTCAGTAACCGTGGTAGGGCTTGACAAGCACCTTTTGACAAGCACTTTTTTATTCTCCTTCGCCCTTTCGAATCTCAACTCGAAAATAATGGTGAAATATGTACAACCCGTGCGTGTCAAGCCTCTTCCACCCACTTACACGACTATAAGTAAGTAGTTATATGTTAGCGCAATTCGCTTCTAGGGCAAGGGGCAAGGGGGGGGAGAGTTGTCAGGGAAGAGTCAATTAACGAAAAGAGACAATGAATGTATATGAACGTATATCGAAGCGAAGCGGAAATATGGGTCAAAATACAGCTCAGCAGACTCTAGCCAAGGTCCGTTGAGGCTTCTGACTCGTACCTTCTTTTCGATAGATATGTGAAAACTCAATTTATTGACTTAAGAAACGAATCGGGAAGTTCTAGGCCGTTAGTCACTTACACCAAGGACGCCGTGGTTGTTAAACAAGCGTATCTCTACCGAATATGTATACCTTTTGGGTATATAGGTACCTCTTATATTACTCACTTTTCAATTCGTCTTCTTTTCTTTTTTTTTTCTCTATACAAATTCACTAGCCGGGGGGTCGGTTACTTTTAATATGTTTGTCTGTCTTGGGTACCTATATATTCTTTTTGGGCCACGGCTCATCTGATCTGACCAGTATGCAAGCGGGTTTGTCGTGGCGGAAGCGAATTCCATTAGCACCGTGGCCCATGGCCGGGTAGTACTACATAGCTACGGGGGGTACGGGAATTCTATTTTTCTTTTCACTAGGACCCTGAAGGCGTCAATAGAAGCCATGCACATCATCAACTTACAACCACCATTACCGTTTCTCCCAATTGGCTAGGATCAGAGACATGGTTTCCACTTCTTCCCAACTTGGCCCGCTTCGATTTTTTAGCATTGGTCAAACCGCGGCACTTTTCTATCCTAGACCGACAATCCAAGGCCGGAGCGGTCACGCACCGTTCTTTTGTTTGTCTTGTTTCTAACTGGTCATTCTAATGTTCTAATGGACTTATCCCATGTTACTTGAAGGGGGATGTCTAAGGTAGCGGTCTACTTATTACATTACTTAACCGAGCGTACGTTACGTAGTTTTGTCTACCTGCCCAATCCACTAGGTTAAGTCACTTGTTAAGACTAGATATCCTACATATACATACTTAATTCTAAGTCTTGACTCTTTTCTACATACCTTAACCTTAGGTAATGCATGCATAGAGTCATCCGACCTTATACTACAGCAACCGGCTTTTATAAGGGCAAGACTAACACCATGTGGATGTATAAGTGCCCACAAACATAGATTCAATATAAAGGAAAGTCTGGAATCTCGTTCGCCGACCCCGATTTTTAGTCCCGTCGTCCCCGCAAAGCTCCTCTACATAGTATACACTCCATTACCAAGTGGGTTACGGCAGCTGGAGCTTCTCGAAGTTGATAAATGCTATACTCCTCCGTCTGTCCGCATCTTCAGAATTTCCTAATCGATAAAGTAGGTTAGGTAGTTTGTATAATATAATATCGCTCCGTTCATCCTGAAAGGTGCCCCACGCAATTGGAGGTCAAAGACATGTTGAATTGGTAAAGTAGTACCGGGGGGTCCCTTCATTCCTCTCTCTTATTGGTCTGTTTATAAATGCAAGATCCCAGGATCGACCTGAGGTTAGCCGAGTCGGGAGCGGAGGGTAAAAAGAATGGGAAAAAAGGGCTGGTAAAGAGGCAGTTATCCGATTTTCACGATAGCCACTTACACACACTACATACAACCATCCTCTATTTTCCTTCGGACCAGAGATACTATATTTAAGAATCCCCAAAATACCGTTATACGCTATACACGCAAACATAGTAAATGCCCACCTGTTTTGGCGGGGTAAGCAGCAAGTTATACGTCACTTCCAGAGGTGAATAAAAAACGGTATGGGTCTGGAAGCCCGTCGGGTCCATCAACTCCGGCCTCAACTCCCTGGGTAGAAGAAGCATTGACGTGTCCATTTTAGCCAGCCAGCCAGCCAGTCTATCGACCGCCACCAATTAGATGAAATACGCGCGGGGTGCCAGAGAATCGCCGATTTATCGCAAACACCTCTAAGCTTACCGTTGATGCTGAGGTACTTAATGAAAGGAGGGGAGTTCTAAAATTAGACGGATTCGACTGATATAATCATACAAACCTATCTTCACATTTTCGAACTTTTCGGATTTGATTCTGAGTATTCGCGCACGTAGCTAATAATCGTTGTTTGTATTTGTTGCCAAGACTTAAGAGGCTGGTAATCGGTGACCCCCTTAACGAACCTAGAAGAATTGCTTAAACTCGATTGGATATAACCTAGCTAGGGAATACCGAACGCGACAGTTGGCAGCCGTTGGGCCTGCATCTGTCCTGACCGCATCACAAACTACATGAGGTCTTAGCTAAAAGCAAATACTATTGGCTGCCTGGTATTGAACAGGTCCGCTAGACAACGGCCACGACAATTTTTTTTAGCATTAAAGATTGAACACAGTCAGATGGTCGCAAAAAAACCTCAGAAAAAAAAACTCTTCTCTTCCCTGTCTTCGAATATGCACATATCTACTATGTATCCCTCCAATTGATATCATCTTCCAATAGTGACATTCCGTCGTGTCCAGCCCTCTGTGGTGGGATACACTAGTAACAGCTTTCGAGGGGTTTTACTGGCCTCATCTCACTCATCCCGACGCCTCTCCCGTAGGCGATATGCAGTTGAACCCTTAACTACCCCTGAACCACGCGTTCGTCCCTTGCAGCTTGCATAAGGTTTATTATCGCGTCTATGTCCCTTCTGTTGGCGCCAACGCGACAAATTTCGGCCGTATCAACCTATTCGGTACCTAAGGTAGCTTGTGATGAGTAGAACGTCATGCATTGCTGAGTTGGCCCGAGCTGTAGAGTGTCTCCTATTCGCTGACCGCTTTGTGAATCATCATCGGTCAGGCCATCAGACTTCTTCATTCTCCCAATCCTTTTCACCAAATATTGGTCGGCTTGGATTGCTGCTTACTTCCAGCTTATCGAGCAACTCTGGTGAAATCGTTGGAATGTACTTTCTCTCTCGCTCCCTATTGACTCCTCCAAATCCGGCGCCGTAAGAAATAAGCATGTCCGTGACTGTTGGCAGTGTAAATGGTAACATCAAGGACGGATCGAGATTGATCCCGTCTGGTATGTCGTCGTCATCGTCTTGTTCTGGGTTTGGTGTGCCTTGTATGCTTCCCGGTGTTTCCGCATTATGACCATTATACGTATTCCTAATAGGCGTCGATGGTGCGCTGGGCATTGGCGACGCCGTTCTCCTACGATCTCTTCTGAGCGCGGCCTCTTTCCGAATTGCGTCGAGATATTTCATCGCGCTCTTAGGCAACCCCTTTTCTCCTACTTCTAGCCGATAATTTTTAGCAGCGTATATCAACTGCTGCGAACTTAGTCGCTTAAGTTGTTGGAGCGTCCCGATTAAAGCTTCTAGATTCTCTGAATCTAAAGATGAAAAACACTGTAACCACTGAAGAAGCTGCACGACGGGAGCTAGATGTTTACGTGCTGCTTCCATTGTTGTTTCTCCGGATGAGACCATCTCTCCATGTTCATAGTGTTCGGGTTGTCTGTTATTAGATCGAGCCCAATCCTCCAGAACCGAAACATTCATCCTAATCTGCATCGCCTTTGTTCTTGCGAGGTATTTTCTGTTATTCATAATCCGATTAAAGAGTTCCGCGCCGATCCAGTAGAGTAGTTGAGATATGATTTGAGATGTGATTACTGAATGAATATCATATAGGTCGAGAACGAATAAAGTAGATGATAGAAGGGATGTTACATTTCGAGGGGCGGGCTTGGCGCGCTGCTTCGGAGAAGGGGGGCGTAGTCGCTTCTCTAGGGGCTCTTCTTTAACCTCCTTTTTCCTCTTGAATAATTTCCACTCGTGTTGGAAAGTGACATCTTCAAGCCCGGGTATAGTCTCATGGTCAAGCATCGCGGCGTCCAGAACTTTATCTAACCGTCTTTCGGCATCTCTTACAATAAGAATGAAAATCTCGTTGACGAGTTCTGCAAGCTGTGCTTGAAACTCTGTTGTCGCCTCGACTAAGCCGGCATCTTTCTTTAGGTAGTGTAATAGTAGGGTGGCATTGGACATCCAAAAAGCCAAAATGGTCATATCCCATTGATGGGCTTCGACGACTTCATTAATTTTATCCTGAGCAGTGACGAGTAACTTAGCCAATAATTCATGGCTAGAATGGTAGTGGGCGTATCGCGCGCTGAGGAAGATCATATTCGCTGGGACAGGCTTCTGAGAAGGTGATCGTTGAGGTTGCATGTTGGTAATAACCATATCGAGCATCTTGTCCAGATCGCTCTCTTGAAATACGAACATTTGGTCATGCAAACACCGGTTCCAATCGAATTCTTGCAGATCCTCTTCGAACTCGTCCACAGGCTATAATAATCAGTTAGTCGGTCAGTCAGTCGTGCTTTCGAGATTAGAGCAACTTACCTCAGGTTGGTCATCTATTCCCATATTACCCAAATCAACCTCTAGGTCGCGTGCGCTATCCATCATCATTCGTCGACGGAATTCGTTTTCGGCCATCTCCTCTTCAAACCTATCTTGGGAGAAGCCAGGGTTGTAGAAGTCATCAGTCACCCCAGCATTCCCAAGGCTATAGCCGTTGTCGTGTAAGTAGAACGACATCTCGCTATCGGGTGGAACAAAATCAAAAGCTGTTCTTCCAGACGAAGTCTTAGCTTCTGGTGACGCTCCATTGTCTAGGAGTGTTTTCGCAATGCCCTTATGTCTATTCGTCATTGCCCACATTAAGGGGCTCCAATAGTTGCGATCCTGCTTATCTACATCGACCCCAGCATCTACGAGAGCCTGCACTACAGTTTCGTGTCCCTAGGCGAAATTAGCGATCAAGTAATAGACGTGGGTTGTGAATATCTTCACTAACAAAGCAACTCGCATAAACCAAGGATGGCGTTCCCTCTTCATCTGGCGCATTGATATCAACGAACGACCTTGCCTTCCCACCAAGTATCTTTTTTACGTTATCAAGGTCGCCATTGCTTGCAGACATGATCAAGGCCTTTTGAAGTATAGAGGTCTTCTCCTCATCTGGAAGTTTCTCATCTGTCGCAATAGCATCCACATCGCCAAAAGCCTCCCCTCCATGGTGTTGAGCTTGCGCTGCGAGCATCTGCATCAGTCGCGTATCGCTATCGGGCATGGTACTTGTTAAGTCTTGATCGTAGTTAGGATCGTCCAGCGTTAGGTTGCTAAACTGCAGCGGCTTCGCAAGCATCGGGCTTGTCAAGAACTGGGATTGACCTGGAAAGAAGTTGCCACGATTAGTATCCATATGAATGTTTCAACCCAGCTTGCAGATAAGCACAAACCTTGCCAGCCATCATACATCTCAGTCTCAGGGACTAGCTCTGTCGATACAATTCTACGGTCATCTAGAGACTTTGGGAGATCAGCTGGGAGAGCTCGAGGCTTTGACGATTGCTCCCCGCCAAAGCCCCCGCCATCAGAATCCCCAAAATCCATCGACAAGTAGGAGGCATAGGAATATTTCGCTCAAGAACTCGTTTAACTCGTCGCGTTAAATAGGAGGACAACCATGCTTCCTAGAAGGGAGATTCCTTATTGATTGATCTGTGGGTCTTTATATATTGGGCTAGACTTCAATGAGGATGTTCGTCATTAAACGCATTAAAAGTGTTAAAAGTTATGGTTAAAGTATGCACTAAGCCAAGCATTTAGATTAGAACATTTAGACAGATAGATGACATGATAGCCACAATGGAACTGCCACAATCATATCAGTAAGGTACTATAGGTAAGTATATGAATTTGGTCCGTGCGCTACCCCTATACATAGTACAGTTACAGTGCTAAGAGGCAGGCATGATCATACTTCTCAATTAAATCATTGATTTACTCCTTAACTACTTGTTTAATAAGTAAAACTACTACTATGTAAGGTACCTAGATCTTCAGCTCAAATCCTCAACTTCGTTTACATTCACAAGTAACCGTGATAAGAAATCTATAATCACAATCCCTAGGCATTAATTTTACTAGAGCTAAAACTTTAGTAAATAAGGTAGATATCTATACACTATGCATTGGGAAGGCAATTCACTCCCTTTTCATCAATTAAACCACATACTCAGATAGCCCTCTTGGCTAGCACCCGCAACCGCTTTACACCTCCATCAGGGATGATAGTAAGTTTGACGTGAGTGAAGCGTTTGTCTTTAATCGCAGAGTCAAAGCTATGCTCCTGATCCGGTCCGCACCGGCTAGGCTCGAGGACCTCAGTCCAACCTTCGGCATCTGCCGCGGGCTCCCCAGCCCCTTTCCACTCTATAGCGTCAAGCTTCGTCTTCTGAGGGAAATTTCCACGGAAAAAGGCTGTGTCCACCACGAAGCTTTGGATAAGGGCCGGAGCACCCAGGCGGATGATAGTCCAGTCGACATGTCCCTTAGTTCTAGAACGTGTAGTTTCCCAACCATCGCCCATGTCCTTTCCCCGGCCAGGTAGGATGAGGTTATCCTTTGTGCCGAAGTGCTGGTCGCTACATGAGACTGCTACGCCTCCATTCTGAGCAGCAGCTAAATCGAAAATTGCATCTACGTCGTCTGGGAAAACTGGCACCGCGTGACCGAATAGTCGAAATCTCGCAATGCCGCCGTCAGGATACATGTTCAGCCTAACGTGCGTGTATTGCTTCGAGGTGGGGTTGTCCAACTTCCAACCGAATCTTTGCGAGGGGCCACATTCCTGGATGCCGAGGATGGTTTCCCAGTTCCCCTTTTCTCCCTTCCATGAAAGAACTTCGTCATCATTTACGGAAAAGCAGCCTTCGACAGAAATTGCCGGAGCATGGTTTCCAGAGAAGAATGCGGTATCGACCTCAACTCCTTCTACAGTTCCGGAAGCAACGCCGAGCCGTATGACAACCCAGTCAAAAGGCTCTGGATTGTGTCTTCTTGTTTCCCAGCCATCATACCAAGCACCTGTGTAGACCATCTTACCAAGTTGCCTGATAGGAGGCGTAGGCGTCAGCAGGTTGATAGCATCGGCAAACCATTGGTCCGAGAAACCTAGGACCTTGCCTCCCAAAGTTCCAGAGATTAAGTCTAACAGGATATAAGTTAGCCTAAGAAAGTCCAGGTCATAGATAACTCATTTTGCATATGTTTTCTTTCCTATACCACTGCACATGTTCATATTCACATACCGATATTAGTAGATCGGAAAGTCTTATCGATTTCATCCGAGGCGATAGACGTAGCCTTGACAGCGTCTAACTTATACTCGATGTCTTCAGTCATGTTTAAATTTTAATAGTAACTGCAATTATTTCTTTGTAAATTGGGGTTCCTGAGAAGTAAGATTTTGATAATGTGACATGAGAAACAAAATAGTTTCACATTTTCTGCTTTACAGAGGACCGACCCGTTCTGAGGAGTAACTAACTATTCTGCCATTCCGACCTCGAAGTCGCGACACGCTAATCTAGTGGGGCAAGCTCCGGAATACGGCTACGGGGAGATAACTATGTAAAATATGTGTATTGGATCTTAGGTAATCTTAATATATTACAACCGGACGGGAAATCTGTTGTATATGGACCAATTGTGTAAGTGGACAGTTTACACTTAGGCATGATTAGCGGCTTATGACATGTGTAATATCATTTACATGCAAGAACATTGTACGTATTGTATGTATATCAACCCCGCATGTCCTTCTTCTTCTTCTTGTTTGTCTTTAGTCTTATATCATGCCAATAATTCTTTATTTTTCGTCTATAGATTAATGACATATATTAGGTACATTATATATAATTCTTGATTCAACCCCATATATCGCACCATACATATAATATATATCTTGCCTTTTCCCTCGTACTCTATATGAAATACACTCCCAAGTTAAAGCAGTCTGTACCTCTTAAAGTAATTACAAGTACAAAAGACCTTCCCGAACCAGGGGTTATCTGTGTAACTCCCCCGCACTAGCTTAGACATGTAAGTCACATACGTAGTCCGCCCTCAAAATACAGCGACTGCTTGGGAATCGCGGGATTCTAATTGGTCGAAGCTTGTCTTCAGCAGCCAGCCCGTCATGTCCGCCGTCGATGATGAGCTCGATCCTTTTAGGAACTTAGCTACCTACATACAAGCCCATCTTGCCGCCCGGCGGAGTTTACGTTTTTTTTTTTTTTTTTAAAAAGATGATATGAAACAGAGCAGCATCTTTTAAAGAGTTTCCATTTAGCTTTAATTAAACCAATCCATACCTAATCTTTAAATCTCTCTTTTTTGCTTGCTTTCAACTCTCTACGTCACGCACCACTTCGAATCTCGTCATTTATACATACACAGACCTACACAAATACCCCGGTACTGCACTACTTGATTAAAAATAGCCAGAATGGCCTCGGCGACGGGAATACCCCAACATCCCCCGGTTGATTCGGACAACGGACAACAAGGCGATCTAGAACCTCTGCTGGGCCACCCGGGGGATGTTTCTCAAAGGGACAATGCTCCCATAGTCAAAAACCTCGTCATTGGTACGGTTATTTATTTATTTATCCTCTTCTATTAACATAGATGTAATGCTCTTCAAGTCCTTGCCCTGCCTTCGCTTCTAGAAAGACATCTTGATTATAGTGTATATTCGCTACTGAATACTACCATCGTGTCCACTGCTACTCTACTACTCTATCCTACCCTACTTTATTCTAGTCTACTCTACCATGCCAAAGCTCATACAATCCTCAGGCACCGGCGTAATCGCCGAGGCCGGCGGCATCCTCCTCGTAGCCTCCGTCTGGGCCGCCGTCTTCCTCAACGGGCCACTGATCCTATTCTCGGTGCACCCGCTCGCGCAATCGCTCGGCCTGCTCGTGCTCATCCAGTCGATCCTCGTCCTGCAGCCCACGCACACCGGCGCCCAGAAGCAAGTCGGCCAGAAGATCCACGCCGGGCTAAACTTCCTCGGCATTGTCACCTTCGGCGTCGGCGTCGTCAGTATCGAGGTCAACAAGTTTGCAAATAACGGCGCGCACTTCCACTCCGTCCACGGATACTTGGGCGTCATTGCTTCGTTCTGGCTGCTGGCCCAGTATCTAATCGGGTTCACCATGTTCGCTGTCCCGAAGCTGTACGGCGGCGAGGCCCAGGCCAAGAGCATCTGGAAGTACCACCGCTCGAGCGGCTATGTCCTGCTCTTGTTTCTCGCGGCTACCGTGATTAGTGCGACGCAGACTGATTACAACCTAAACGTCCTAGGGCTGAAGCTGTGGGCCACGATCGTCATCTCGTTGTTAATAGTTGTTGGTGTCTTCCCACGGGTTAAGAAGCAGAAGCTCGGCTTTTAAAGCAATGGGGTACCTCTTGGAAGATACTATGAGAGGATGCAATTTTCCAAAAGCATGTAGCGCATTGCGGGATAATGATGTGTTATGATGCACCTTGACAGTTCGTACCAGGAATATTAGGTACCTAGTTTTATAGGGGTTTAGATTCCCTTTCTATACTTTCTCTCCGGTGTTTGGCTATGGCGTCAAATCATCGATTCGGTTGGTTCAGTACGGAAGCGTTCATCCTAATGGAGTTCTACATAAATTGTGGTAGTCATATGGTTATGGTTTATGGTTATAGTCATGGTGGACATGTAAAAGGACCGCTTGATATGGCAAGACAGCTCATGTTGAAGTTAGAAAGGCTGAGATAGTAATAACAAAGGATGTAGCATCCTATCTAGCTATCATCCTCTCGCGGGTTTAGAGATCAAAGTTGTATATGTTAACAGAATTCATCAGTAAAAACTTACTCCGAAAACTTGTATGTTATATCTAATTTTATAGCATTATTAAGACTTATACGCGCAACCAAATCTCACGTTGCGTAATAACTTACGGATCACATGTATCTAAGGGTATATATTTACCACAGTTAAAGTAAAAGAGATAGTAATTCCGGACAAGCCAATATTATTGCAATGGCATTTAATTCCCTATGTTAAATTATCGAATACAAAAAACATCAATTTATGATTAAACCAACCAACACACATTATTACCTGGCATTACCTCCTTTCCCCCGATCACCATAACTCACATGTAGGCTCCTTCACCGGGCACTTGAAGCTCTCCCTAAATGCCTTCGAGTTAGCCGTCGTTCCTAATACTCGCGCAAATGCCGGCGAGTGCGGATCTGTGTAGATGCGTCGGATGGCTTCTTCATGGCGGTTCTTGCCGCACCACCAGTTGGCGTAGAAGACAAAGAAAAGCTGGTCTTGCGTGAAGAAGTCCAGCCCAGGAAGATTCTGATCGGGTGATGTCTCCGTCCGGCTCTTCCATGCCGCAAAAGCTGCCGAGACACCACCTGCATCGGCGATGTTTTCTCCCAGAGTAAGTCTTCCGTTGACGTGTAGGGGCTCGCCATTGTTGCCCTGGACGGTAAAGTTGCTGTACTGCTCTACGAAGCAGTTGGCACGCTTATCGAATTCTTGTACTGTGTTATTTGTCCACCAGTCCGTGAAGTTTCCATGCTCGTCATAGTGTCGGCCGGAGTTGTCGAACGCATGAGAAAGCTCGTGGCCGGCGACCGATGCAAAAGCACCGTAAGACACGTAACTCGGTAGCTCTAGCTGGAAGACGGGGAACTGCATAATACCGGCCGGGAAGACAATTTCGTTTCCTACCGGGTTGTAGTAGGCGTTCACAATATCGGCTTGCATACCCCACTCGCCGTGGTCAACTGGCTTCCCAAGGGCTGACCAGGTCCTGTTGGTTTCTAGGGCATTGCTCGATAAAGTGTTATTGAAGAAGGAATCGGAAATTTTCAAGCCACTGTAGTAAGATTGCAATGCCTCCGGATTTGTTATGTTCGGAGAGGTCGTTGGGAAACCAATCTTCTGGTCGATGTTGTTCACCTTGTTGACAGCTAATTTTTTGACCGAGTCATCCATCCAACTGAGATCATTTAGCTTCGAAATAAATTGCTTCTTGATGTCAAGTATGATCTGGTCACCAAATTCCTTTGCTTCGTCTGAGAAGGTTGCTTCAATATAAAATCGACTTAATATCCAACCCAGTGTAGAATCAACATAGCCGACGCAAGTCTTCCATCGCTCAGTCTTAGTATCGGGGTCCTAGAAACTGTTAAACATTTGCCACTACTGAGCCCATGCAATGGGTAGGTACATACCCTTCCAGATAGAGTGTTGGAAAAGCGAACAATCGGCTGCACTTCTGGTCCTTCGACGTAAGAAGAATATTGATTTACTAGTTGCCAAACTAGATAACTTTGCACGGTGGACTTGGAAGTTTTAGAGAGAATGTCGGAGACATTGCCTAGGAATTCCGGGAATGCCAATAGCATAGTATCCGCCGTGTAGTCCTGAGGAGCTAAGGCTTTGACGATAGAGTCTAGCCCGATTGCTGGTCCGATCTTGCCGGTATCGGCAACTTTAACGATGTTGTAGTATTTCTAAACTGGTCAGCTCTGCTCGCAAACCTTCTACTAGATAAGTAATCTCACTCACAGTGACGTCGGATTGATCCTCAGGAGGTGGTGTTGCCGCCGCAATCTTCTTCTCAAGTTCGATGACAGATTGAGCAAGTTCTTTAGCTGATGATTTCGAAGATTTGCTCGGAAGGAGGCTGGTGAAAATATCTCCTAGCATAGTTTCATACTTGCTCACGGTGTCATTATCCTGATAGTATTCCGGCGAAGGTAACGTTAATCCTGCTGGGTATGCTTGGACAATTACCACGTCAGGGTTCTTGTCATCAGCACCAGCAGTAAGGCCCACAAAGGAAGAAACCCCTAATTTTTCTAGGAGTAGAATGGTATCACTAAGAGCAGCATAGTCCGCCTCTTCAAGTATTGCATCGCTCCCATAAGCATCGTCAACAGGGAAAGACAAGGCAACTTGGTTTATTAAGTCGACAAGGGGCTCAACGCCTACTTTCTGAAGAGTTGCCTCGTCTAAGCATGAATTGTAAGCATCCTGTATCATACGGAAATTCTCTTCGTCGGTAGAAGCAGCAACCTTGATGAGATTCTGCGGCGAAAACGAAGAATGCTATAAAGTATACATTAGTAAATCATAACCAAGATTTGAAGATTAGGAGAGTATGACTATATTTCAATATATTCTCCTATGTATATTATAAGGCTAGGAGGGTAAACTCGAACGTCAAGTCACAGTGAATACACGCTTACCTTCGAAGTAGTTGGATAGGAAGACTCTAAAATATGTCTAAGGGTAGATTGGCCATTTTCAGACATAATAGTAGCTGTCGAATATGAGGACTTGTCCTGCGGAATATCATGACGGTTGATAAATCCATCACAGACAAGAGTGTCAAAGTTCGTGCATGGATCGATTGTCTCATAATCCGGAGATAGATTATCTAGTATTACAATGAGCTTCTGCTCGTTGGGTTAGGGATTACGGGAATTGACTAACAGAGAATCTCGGACGCTGCGTGAATGCACTACAGTAAATATAAGTTAATAATTCCCATTCTTTTCAATTGTTGGGATTTTGGGTTGTTGTCGAGTGGAATTACTCCTTAGTGAGCTCGATTATGATGTCCTGCTTTTAAGACAAGCCATAGGGGATAAGGGAACTCGAAGTGCTCTATACATACGGCCGGTGACAGACATAACGACGAACTCATGCCAGGCTTCCGTCGGGCACGTGACAGGACTATAATAATGTTAGAAGATGGCTTCCGAGTAGATGTAAGGAAGTATATAGAAGATAGAAAGCTGAAGTTTTTGAGAAGGAGTGAAAGATAAGATTACGGCAAAATTGCAAATGTGAGGTTGCAGGCTCGAGTCGAATTTGATCAAGTGGGGAGGAAGAATTCGCGGATGAATGTAGGTAATTTTTCTTTACTCCCAGTCCACGGATTGCGTCAGGGTACGACATTCATCCAATCTATCTAACCAAAGACTGCCAGTATCTAATCGATGGGATAAAGAAACATGGTAACATAACACAGAGTTTGAACTCAGTGATACTTTTAAATAGGTGGTGTAGTTACGCGGAAGAGCCAACATCATGAAAACTAGCAAGTCCAACACCTGGTAGACGCAGGAAGAAAATGGTGGTATTATCTTGGGAAGAACACTTACGGCCAGATAAAATTAATATTACGATGAACGCGACGATGAGAAAGGCGCTGACGATCAGCGATACCCAGCGGCGACGTCTCCAGGTTTTAACCTGATCATTAAGAAGGGCGAGATCTTCTTCCGTAGTCGCATCCCTTCCACTCTCGTCGACATGGTTACTAGCTGCATCACGAAGCAGGGGTGTCCGTTCGCCATTTGGACGCTGATTTTGGGCAGCCATGATTGTTGGTTGATGACGATGGATTCGAGCTAAGCGACGACGGTAACATGCACTCTTATGAGAGTATCGAATCCGATCTCCGTAGAATAATCCCACTATAGCATAGTACAACTTAGATACCTAGATAATAGCGGGTTGCGCATATCAGTAGTTATGAAGTCGTTACAAATAACAATCAATATAAATACGTATAAGATGATGAGGTGACGTTTAGACGAGCTGGGCGTTTAGGTGGTAAACGGGAAAGACAAGTTAAATTCCATGGCGGCTTGTTGACGAAACAGCAGAGCAACCCCGTAGACTAAGCTCGAATGGGATATGGAGTACCTAATTTCTGGGGTAGCTACTTTATTCATCGTGTATGCTAGGTTCTGATTGGTTTAAAGGGTGTTACTAATAGCTAGCACGCGGAAGCTTATCCTAGTATGCCTAGACTTCCAGAAAGGGGCAAGTGGAGCTAGCTGATGGGCTGACAGGAACGAACGATGTCATTTGGTCTTGAGCTATTCTCTTTAACTACTACGAGGCAGCTATTGCTGGGCAGTTACTACTTAACATTCACTTCAACATTTATATTTCTCTCTGGACGGACTAGACGAACCTCTCAAACGTGTGTTACTTAGCACTTCAGTCTACGGATCCGTACTAATTAAACCAACACATGGTAAATGCTCAACTAGGCGTGCATCTTAAAGAAAATATCGGATGGTTAACCAGCAACGCCTAAAGTTATATTTTACTTTGAAGAGCTATTGAAAAATGTTGACCAGTACTATTGGGCTTTAAGGACCTTCGATCTTAAGATTACGACTAGGCTATAATATGTTCGCGTTTAGTATATCACTAAATGTAAATACCCAATGGCGCTACGAGTATCTATCTATTCCATTATATTAAAATTGTGAATCATCAGCTATGAGAATACCAGTTCATAGTAAGTGTTAGATATAACGCTATAGACTAGACTTCATCTTTCATTCTAAGAGAAGCTCATCCATGTGTTAG